CCCAGGTTGAAAGGCACTCTGTTAGCTGGAAGATGAAAAATGACTAATTTTTTCATTGGAATCATATCAGCCTGTAGTAAGAGGGGCTGGAGAAAGAAAGGGGCTATTGTGTTTTGATCAAAGTCTGTCATGGAGAGATACTCAAAGCAGGAGAGGAAGGAGTCACAAATTGGGGAGGAGGGCTATCAGGATGGGGACTTGTTTCTAGGTTTCTGTTAAGGGAGGATGCATTTAAAGACTCTGGGACCTCTGCCCCAAGTTGGCTACAGCATGATTTTACCAGTTGTAGGAAGAAAGTCCTAGAAATATCTAATCCTCCTCACCTCCACCCCTATCCTCGTGCTAATTTAGCCAAAAATCTTTATGCTGTTTTAGTGTCCCTGGGTCCTTCAATAAAATATAACACCCTAGGACACACAGTCTATCTTCTTTGTTCTAAGGCCTTCCAGCTCTGACATTCTATGTCCTAAAGTCTCTTGTGACATTATAAGATTCTATAAGATGGGGCAGGGGGGAGAGAGATTTTGAAGAAGATGATAGGCAAGAGGAAGTTCATAAAATGCCCTTTGTCTCTTATCTACTCCACAATTTCCTCCTGTCCCTTTTCTGTCCAGGGCTTCCTTGTAGGTCCTGGATAACAAGGGCCCAAGGAACATGCCATCAGCTCTTCTCTAACACAGACTAATTTCTCCCCATTTCGCTGTCTCCTACCCGAGAGTGTTTGGATAACTCTTAAACGGCCCCTTCTCTAGCTCTCGCCTCTGTAACTGCTGCTGCCCAGTGGGCTCCCCTTTTCCGGGGCCTGGGAGGTCATCCCCACCCTAGTGGCCTCAGACTTGGCAGGCTCCGCTGCAGACAGAGGCTCAAACAGTGGCCTGTCTGCACCGAGGACTGATGTTTACCTAGAGGAGTAGCCTGGGGAGACAAGAGAGGGAAAACCTGGCCAGGCCATACTTAGAAGGCTGCAGGCTTCAGCCGCCTTCTAACTCCTTGTTCAGTAATCTGGGGATGTTAGACTACATGGCCTTTGAGGTCCCTTTCAGCTGTAGATTTATAATCTTATTGTCCTATGATCTTCTGCCAGCCCTGGGCTCCACCCTAATCACAGACCTGTCTGGAGATGAAACTGGCACAGACCGCATCCTAAGGGTCCTATGGGGCTCTGGGCAAGTCACTTAACCTGTCTGAGACCCTTGATCCCCCATCCGCACAATGAGGATAATATTGCTTGTACTATACCTATCTCCCAAAGTTGTGAGGAAAGAGCTTTTTGAAGTGGCATAGAGATGTGAGTTGTTATTATCATGCCCACTTTCTCTTCTGAGTTTGATGACAGCCCCATTGAGGTACCTAGATCAGATGTTATTAATTTCCTTTTTGCAAATGAAAGAGAGGGGGAAGAGGAATTTATATAGTACCTACTATATCCCAGGCACGGTGCTAAGTGCTTTAAAAATATTATCTCATTTGATTCTCATAACAATTCCTCAAAGGAGGTGCTGTTATTTCCCCCATTTTATAGTTGAGGAAACTGAGGTAAATAGAGGTTATGTGATTGGTTTAAGTTCACATAGCTAGTAAGCCGCAGAAACTCAAATGAGCCTCAAAATCGACTTGCCCCAGGCCACTGATCTAATTAATGGCAATACTGGTGGCATAATGAGCAATGGAAAGACCTTTAGCAGGTATCAATTTTAGCAGGTCAGGTGACATGCTTGGGAGCAATGATGTAAAAGGCATCTCGTAGGCCACGGTTGAGCAAAGAGGTGGTCCGGTCACATTACTGAGAATGAATTCAGGAATTGAGGGTCCTCAGTCCTGGGGTCCAGTCCTAGAAGTTATCCAGAACTTTGTGAGCTCTGCATCTCTCAGTTCCCTTCTCTGTAAAAACAATTGACTGGACTAAATGATATATAAAGTTCCTTCCAGCATGAACGTTCTCTGTTCTAAAGGCCTTACCAGCTTTCAGCAGTCTATGTTCTACAGGCCCTTCCATATCTGTCTCTTCCAACTCTCAACTTTCTATACTCTGGGGCCCTCTGAAAGAAATGACAAGACCAGACAACGGTTACTCTTATCTATGCATACATAATTAGAGTGGAAGAAAGGAGGAGACAACATGCAAATAAATACATGCAAATAAGCTATATACAGGATAAATAGGAAATAATTAACAAAGAGATGGTACTAGAATTAAGAGGGGTTGGGAAAGGCTTTCTTAAAAAAATGGGATTTAAGATGGGACTTAAAGGAAACCAGTGAGGTCAGTAGGCAGAGTAGAGGAGGGAGAACATTCCCAAAACAGGGGGACAGCCTGAGAAAATGCCTGGAAATGAGAGATAAAGTGTCTTGCTTGTGAAACAGCCAAGGGGCTGATCCATTATCACAGAATGATAGAACTAGAGCTGGAGAGGCAGCATGACTGATAGACAGACAGATGGATGGACAGACAGACGGATGGATGGACAGACGGACGGACAGATGTACAGACAGACTGATGGATAGATAGACAGACTGATTGAATGATTTAGATGCACTGAGACAGATACACAGACAGAGCAATAGACAAATTCTCATCCTTTTAACTTTCAACTCCCTCCTCTCATGTTTCTTATATACTTATTTGTGGACATGTCCTCTGCAACCCTATAGAATGTAAGTTCCTCGAAGATGGGAGTATTTCACTTTTATTAATTTTTAAAATTTTTAAATTCTCTTATGAAATGTGTCCTTTGAGTGAGGTTTGAAAAAAATATACCTTTTGTGTACATGAGGTTTCATTTCTATTGATCCTTTTTGCAGGAAATTTTGTTTTCTAAAAAGAAACAGTGCACATGTACTGTTCATGCCTACTGGAATTACATTAGAGAATTTTGATTGGACTACTGGCTAGGCTACATAGCCTGCATGTGTTTGGGGGCCAGTGACTTCATCTTTTTTTGGCCTCATCTGTAAAATGAGGATCTGGACTAGATGATCTTAGATGCTCTTCATTTTTAAATCCTATGATTTCAGCATTTCTTTTTCAACTTTCTTGTTTTCTTGCTGTTCCTCAAATAAGACACTCCCATCTCCCAGCTCCATGCACTTTCACTAGCTCTCCTCCATTCCCGGAATTTTCTCTCTCTCTCTCTCTCTCTCTCTTCATCTCCATACCTTAGCTTCTCTGGCTACCTTTCTTCAAGTCCCAGCTAAAATCCCTCCTTCTACAGTGCTTAATATACAAGGTAAAAACAAACCAACAAACAAACAAATAGATAAATAAAATAAAATCCTGCCTCCTACAAGAAACCTTTGCCAGTCCTCCTTCATGCTGGTACCTTTGCCGTGCTGATTATCTTCAGTTGATCTTGGATATATCTTGTTTGTACACACTACATAATAGGTACACGGTACATACATAATTTGTACATACGTGTTGTCTCCCCCATTAGACTGTGAGCTCCTTGAGAGCAAAAACTGTCTGCCTTGCTTTAGAGCCTTAGCACTTAGTACAGTGCCTGCTACATAGTAAGCACTTAATAAATGCTTGTTGATTGACAGAGTGATTGGCCTGGCTTCCTGGGAATGGGTTCAGCCTGGTTAGGAAGGTGGCTGGACTCTGCCTCTCTTCTTTCATATGTCCAACACTTTCTTTGCTAGGATTAAATAGAGCTTCCTAGACTCAGCATCTCTTTTATCCTCCCATCCTTTACAAAAGGAGCCAAGACATTCTCGTTCTCATATCCCCCCCACCCCCACCCCAGGGCTTTTCTAGCCATAGCACTTTCTAGTTATAAAATGCTTTCATAGGTCTCCTCTGATCCAGATAACATTGTGAGATAGGAAGGGAAGGGATATTATTCCCATCTTACAGATAAGAGAAGTGAAATGACACAAGTCGCAATTATCCAGTATTAGGACCCTGATTGCTTCTATTTCTGTTGATGGTACCACAATCCTCCCAAGTCTCCTGAGGCTGGAAACCTTAATCACATTTGCTTTTTCTCCCTCACTATCCCACTTCTCAAATCTTGCCCTTCCTATTTCCAGAACATCTCCCACATTGCCTCTATTTTTTTTTAACGTCACCAACCTAGTTTGTGACCACATATGTATATATATATATATGTGTATGTGCGTATGCATATATCTATGTATGTATGTATGTGTGTGTGTGTGTGTATACACACACACATATATATATATAAAATATATATATATATAAAATATATATATATATAAAATATATATATATATATATAATAAAAACCTCCTAACTGGTCTGCCAGGACAAAGTGACAGGACTGCCAAAATAATCTAAGGCATGAGTAGAACCATATCATTCCAAAGCCTTATTGGCTCCCAGGTTTCCCATGGGACAAAATATAAACTCTTGGTTGAGCTAAAGGCCCACAGATTCACAGATCTAGCACTGGAAGGGACTACAGAGGCTCCATTTTGCCGATAAAGAAACTGAGGGACAGGTGGCAATGTGACCTACCCAAAGTCACACAGATAGTAAGGGGCAGAGGGAGGATTTGGATCCAGAGTCCTCTGTCTCCAAAGCCAGCACCCTTTCTTCTGTACCATTCTGTTTTCCTCTATCCATTCCAAACTACTTTTTCTGCATTATTTTATATTATTCTCTTTCATACACTCTATATATGTATCCCAAAAATTGTAGTGTGGTTGTAAGTCAACAAAAGTTAAAACTAGTCATCTAGGTGGCACAGTGGGTCAGGCCCTGGAGTCAGGAGGACCTGAGTTAAAATCTGGCCTCAGACACTGGCTATGTGACCCTGGGTAAGTCACTTAGCCCTGATTGCCTCCGAAAAAAATTTAAAACTTCACTAAGACTTTTGGGGCACCCTATATAGTTGAATTGATTGGAACTATTGGCTGCTCTCCACTATTGTCCTGCCATCCCATTTGCCTCAGTTAGCTCCTATTCATGAAAAAGTACTGAATTCCCTCGTTATCTTCACTTACTGAAACATTTCTCTTACTTTACCTCTCAGGTGAAGTTTCACCTCCTCCATGAAGCCTTCTCTGATCCTATTCCTCTTCTCTGCTAGTCCAGGTAAAAATGATCCTTCCTTCCTTACACTTTCCTAGAGCACCCCATCCTGGTCTCTCCTTTGTCATTATCATAAAATCACAGAACTACAGCATGCATGATAGATGCATGGATAGATGTAAGACAAACAGATTACTGGATAGACAGCCAGATAAACAGATAGACAGATTGAGAGAGATAGACATACTGAAACCAAGACACAGAGAGAGAGCAATAGGGAAAACATGTAGTAAGTACTTACTAAAACAGAATGCTAGATGTGGGGTTAGGAAGACCTAGGTTCAAATCTTGCCTCAAATATTTACTATCTCTTGTGATCCTGAGAAAGATATTTAACCTTCTTTTGGCCTCAGTTCTTCATCTGTGAAATGAAGATATTGAAGTAGATGACCTTAAATGTCTCTTCCAGCTCAGGATTTGAACTCAGGTTTTTGTGACTCCAGGCCCAGCACTCTACTGGCTGTAGCATTTAACTCTCACTTTGTAGATCTGCTACCCAGATATCCATAGAATATGCAGTTCTGACCATTTATGTTCTAGGCTCTTTTTTAGCTCTGACAGTTTGTGAAAGGAAGTTATTTAGATGCAAGCCTAGACTTTAATCAACCTTCTCCCTCAGAGGGAGAAGAGGCCAAACTTCCAACCTATGGATACAACATAGCACATGGCTCATAGCTCAAGCCCCAAATCCGTGTCTAGCTAGGGATCTCCAGGTTCTAGGGAAGTGAGGAAAATTCTCTAGAGCACTGGTTTCTAAACTCTTTTTGACTGAACAGTTCTATTAGTAAAAAATGCTTAAGGATGCACCCCCAATATGTAGATGTTATTATATAAATCCTCCACCCCCTTCTCTTCCCTCATGGTCAGTCTGTTACCAAGGCCCATTGATTTCATCTTTGCAACATCTCTTATATAGGCCCCCTCCTCTCTTCTGACACCACTGCCATTTTAGCACAGGCCCTCATCACCTGAACTATTGCAATAGTCTGCTGGTGGCTCTGCCTGCCCCAAGTCTCTCCCTACTCCAATCCATCCTCCATTCAGCCACCAAAGTGATTTTCCTAAAGCACAGGCCTGGTCATGTCACTTCAACCACTCCCCCTACACTCAATAGACTCCAGTGTCTCCCTGTGGTCAGGATCAAATACAAAATCCTATTTGACATTCAAAACTCTTCATAACCCAGCCCCTCCTACCTTTCCAGTCTTCTTATACCTTACTTCCCAACTTGTACTCTGCAATCCAAAGACGCTGGAGCATCCTGGCTGTTCTCTCTCAGTTCCAGGCATTTTCTCTGACTGATCCCCATGCCTAGAATGCTCTCCCTCCTCAACTCTACCTACTGACCTCAATGGCCTCCTGTAAGTCCCAACTTAAATCCCATCTTTTTAAGAAAGCCTTTCCCAACCCCTCCTAATTCTAGTACCATCCCTCTGTTAATTATTATAATTTGCATGTTGTCTCCCCTATTAGATTGTAATCTCCTTGAGGGTAGGAACCATCTTTTGCTACTTTTTATATCCCCAGTTCCTGGCACTTAATAGGTACTTAAGAAATGTTTGTTCATTGATTGATATACTTATTTATAAATTACACACTGTTAACACACTACTAATTATAGGCATTGTAAAGCTAATGTAAAATATAGAAATAGATAAACATGAAATGGTATTTGATCCTACAGTCAATAGGATGCTACTGTAGTTTATTGAGTAGGGGAGTGGCATGGTCTGACCAACCCTTAAGGAAAATCACTTTGGCGGCTGTGTAAAGGCTCTACTGGAATGGAAGAGCTGAGGTAGGGTGATCTGGACTGTAGGCATGAGTAGAGAGAAAGTGACAGGTTCCAGAGATGTGGTAGAAATGACAAGACAAAAATGGTTTTTCTTAACTGTATGCATGCAGAAATGTTGCACTCCTTCCCTAGTAGAATGTAAGCTCTTGGGGGTCAGGGACCCTCAGATTTTAGGGTATCCCCAGCCCCTAGAATAGTGGCTGGCACTTATGGAACACTTACTAGATGTACAATAGATTAATGGAGGTCTCTTCCAGCTCTGCCACTCATTTGTTCTAAAGGTGCTTTGAGCTCTAACAATTTGTCCTTTGAATGATCCTTTATTGCATATTCCCTCCTTGAGAGTGTTGCACAATCTAATCACATTTTCTCATCCTTCCTGATTCTTGTTTTTTTGTTCAGGTACTCCCACAAATCCTCCACAGGGGATCTACCGAACATATGGGAGGCTTCCTATTGGGTCTTTTAACATTTCAAACACACCTAAGGGCAGCCATATTACTCAGTTGCATGGCCTGTAAATCTCTTTTTTCCAGTTATATGCAGGGATAGATAGGGATAGGGGGCAGACCTGCGATTTCATTGCTGTTGGGAGCTCCCAATGAGAAAAGCTCCTTCTGCCAATGCAGGTTGACACCTTCTCTATAAGTGAGATGGGTTGGAGAGCTCTCTAGACCACTGAAAGTTTAAGCATCTTGCCCAATTTTAAGTATATGTCAGAAGTGGGACTTGAACCCTGATTTGCTGAGCTCGGCATCCAAGGTTATGTACTTGATGAAATCTTTAACGCCATTTTAAAATGTAATAACTGTTGAGATGCTGTAGCCCACACAAACATTTCTAAAAGTTCAGTGAAAATTCTTGAAGGGCTTTTGGGACATTCTCAGTTTAAAGATCAACCATCTGACACCTCCTTTATCAGGTCAACTCAGAGAATAGAACAGATAACTGGATAACACCTCTAGCAGAATGGGGGTGGGATGTGGAAAGGGGGAAATATGCAAGCCCAGGCTGGGGTCTATCTTCTGGTCCAGATTGAGCAGCTTCATGCCAGACTCTACAGGGTGCTCCAGTCTGTTCACCTTACTTTCCCCCTCTATAACCTGGGACAGTGGGAAGAGGGAGTTAGGAGTGGCCAGGAAGTTCAGGTGTTTATATTTTAAAAAACCTCCCAGGGTGGCTTTGGTCTGTGAATCGAGCCCAGAAGACAAAGCCCCAGATGGTCCCAGTGGGGCAGGGGGAAGGAATCACACACAAAAAGTCAGCTTTGCTCAAATAATCCTTTTCTCTCCCCCTCTTGCTTCCCTCCCTTCCATGAATTTAGAAATTGGGGACCCATAGACCTAGGGTCTAGTCCTAGAAGTTGCCCAGGACTTTGTGAGCTCTGGGTCTCAGTTCCCTCCTCTGCAAAAACAATCGATGGACTAAATGATATCTAAAGTTCCTTCCAGAATGAACATTCTCTGTTCTAAAGGCCCTACTAGCTTTCAGCAGTCTATATTCTAAAAGCCCTTCCCCATTTGACGCTCTATGTTCTGAGGCCTGTTCCAACTCACAACCTTCTATATTCCGGGGCCGCTTCAAATCTTAACATTCTGCATAATAAAGTCCCGTCAAGCTCTAACATTTTATAACTTTATTAAGGGAAACTGTCCAGTCTAAGGAAAGTAAAATGCTCAATCGGGACATGGTTATTGTGACCTAGGGTAAATCAGTTTATTTCTCTGGGCCTCAGTTTCCTCATCCATAAAATTAGGATGTTGGACTAGGTGACCTCTGGAATCCCTTCCAGCTCTGAATCTATGACTTAGCGATGGAAGTGTGCATACCCAGCCCCTGGAGGCAACAGAAGCTGGGGGCCATGTACCACCACTTCCCACACTCAGGCCCTCCTTTGGAGCCAAGCCCATGGCCCGGCTCACTGCCGGGACTAGGGGGCAGCAAGGCCCAGGAAAGGCCCCAACCTAAGAGGGGGAAAGTCACAACTCAGGCACCTGCTTCTGGACCGGGAATATCTGGGGTGTCTGGAGCCAGTCACAACTTCACGTCCGGCAGCCACCTTTGATCCCCCAGGCCCAGTGGCCAGCCCTGCAGAGACCGCCTTCCTGCCAACTGCTTTGTGCAGGACTTCTCCCAGTTCTAGGCCACTGGGCTCCACTTACCCCCTAATTCGGCACTGACTTCCACCCTCTGCCCCGGTTCAGGATCCCAAGACCCAGAGAGGGAGAGAGGAAAAACAGTCACTCACCCCGCCCACCCCCAGAGGGAAGGTTGTGAAGGGAAGATGGCGGCCAGCCCTGGGACGTACTCACCATAAGGGTTGTCCACACTGGCCCCTATCGGCATATTTACACTGACCATCTCCCCGCCTGCTGGTTGGGCACATATACTGGGGACCGACCCCAAAGCTGAGTGGAGAACTGAGGCAGCCTGAGAGTGGGGCCAGTCGGGAGGGAAGGAGGGAGGGACAACCGGCCCAGGGAGGGCCCAGTGGCCTGTGTTATCTTATTGATTCTCTTAATCAGGGCTAATGTGGGTGGGGATGTTAAATTGTAACCAGTCTCTTAGGGAAACAGATCTGCAGGGGACTGTCGCTGTAGCCATAGTAACAGCCGGGAAGCTGGAACTTAGGAGGGCTTTTACAGCTTGCCTTGCACCTGGATCTGGGGAGAGAGACAACCCTGGGACCCAGCAGGCAGGGAGGGACAGGGACAGACTGGGGTGTGGAGGTGAGAGTCCAACCTGCACCCAGGATGAGAGACACAGGTCCTGAGCTTTTATTGCCGGGGGGCCCAGACCCAGGAAAACAAAGGACTGGCTGTGTGAGGGTGAGGTGGGGGGGGGAGGTGGAGAGGGGTGAAGGTCTGAGGGAGACAGGAGGGGGACATCCTCCTTACCCAACCCCACCCTATTGCCTGGATTCATGGACAGGAGGAAGCACGCTCAGAATAATAACCCAACCAAAGGGAAAGGTCTGAATTTAATATTTAGAGGGGCAGCCTGAATTTTACCCCCAGCTCTCCCTGATCTTTACACCCTCAAATGTGTGATATTATTGTTCAAGACCTGGGTTCTAATCTTGTCCAGAGCTGAGAAGTTTATTAGTTATAATATCTGTATCTATCTATTTATCTGTCATCCACAGTATATTTATACACACATATTCAGGCACAGCAAAGAGTTAAATAGACTTTTCAAAAGCAAAAGT